TTAGTTTTTTATTATTCTTATTAGTAGGCTATTATATTCAAATGCCCTTGTAATCTTTAATCAAAATAAGTTTACCTCCCACTTGCAACAACATCTCTTCTCTGATGACGTGTTTACTTGCGCGAGGGCAGGACGTTGGCTGTTGACAAAATCGCATACTTGCTTGAGTCGCTACTTATTTTGTTACTTTGCAAATGCTAAAAAATGGATGTTCTATATAGTATTTAGGATGAAGGTACTACATTAGCCGTGTTGTCATTGTCATGTAACCTACCTCACTGCCATTTCACAAAATCCTTTTTTTCCAATCGCAAATAAATTTTTTCTTGTTTGAGATGCAGTTGTACTCGAATATGTTACATTATAATAACATTTAAAAACTTTTTTTTTTTACATAAAATTGTGTAAATATTGAAAATAAAAAAAATGCTATATTCAATATAGCAAATGGAAGCAATAGAAGCCTGCTTCTGCTGAGGAATAAAAATGGTATTAAAAAAGTAATTGCAACTTTTTATATCACAATTATGAGTTTATATCTCGCAATTCAGACTTTCTCAAAATAACACAATTCTGACTCAATTTTTGCATTTCCGATTTCATATCTTACAATTTTAAGTTAAAGGCCCACTGAAGTTACCTTGCAGCCTATGAAGGAGTGAGACAGCTCTCAGATTTAATCAAAAATATCTTAATTTGTGTTCTGAAGATGAACACAAATTAAGATGAACGAGTCTTACGGGGTTGGAACAACATGAGGGTGAGTAATTACTGACATAATTTTCATTTTTGGGTAAACTAGCCCTTCGAGGCTAACATATTCATACTAAGAGCTAAAAAACTAAGAAGCCTTGACGTTTTAATCACGCTACTTGTCCGGTCAGCAAGTAAAATTCTCTTTCACTTGCCCCTTCAAAAAAATGCACTTGTCCCAGACAATCGTTAATGTTGAGCCCTGCATTCAGTTGTCCTAATGTGCTTTTGTCTGTACTAGGCTGCATGTTGTACACCATCCACAACACATTTGATGACATACAGAATAAACTAGTGGCAGACCTGGGCTGTGGATGTGGAGTTCTGTCTATAGGAGCTGCAGTCCTTGATGCTGGGTAAGACCAACTCCATCCTTCTCTCCATGGCCTAAAATTACTTGTTTTAAAAATTATATGAATCAACATAACTGTACTCTCTCCTTACAAGACTGTGTGTTGGATTTGACATCGACGATGACGCCTTGGATATATTCAAAGGAAATGTTGATGAATTTGAATTGTCAAACCTTGATGTGGTCCAGTGTGACGTGTGCTCAATCGGGTCCTCTTACGGCAAGAAGTTTGACACGGTCATCATGAACCCTCCATTTGGCACCAAGCACAACCAGGGTAAGAGTCAGCTTATCCTCTGCCAATGCAATGCTTCACTTCACATTAACTTATACATCCATGTCTTCAACTCTAGGTATTGACATGCAGTTCCTGCAGACTGCGATTTCTATGGCAAGTACAGCAGTGTATTCCCTTCACAAGACCTCAACACGAGATGTAAGTTTCCCCATTGTGTCAGAATTTAGCAGCTTCAACTCTATAAATGAGAAAACATAACTTACAATTGAATTGCAATTGTGTGCAGCACATTCAGAAGAAAGCAAATGACTGGAAAGTGAAAATGGATGTCATTGCAGGTAAAATGTACTACACCTATAAGCATACTACACACTACTGGTTCAGAAAGACTTTATTTGAAAGAAATTATTACTTATATTCATCAAGGATGCATTAAATGGATCAAAAGAAAGTAAAGACTTTTACATTTTTACAAAAGTTGTTTTATTTCAAATAAATGCTTCTTTCAAAAGAAGAATCCTGGAAAAAAATATAGCATGGTTTCCACACAAATATTAAGCTGTACAACTGTTCTCAACATTAATAATAATAATACATGTTTCTTGAGCAGCATTCAGCATATTAGAATAATTTCTAAAGGATCATGTAACACTGAAGACTGAAATACTAATGCTGAAAATTCAGCTTTGGATAACAGGAATAAATTAAATTTTAAAATATGTTCAAATAGAAAATGTTTTTAATTGTTATATTTCACAATATTACTGTTTTTACTGTATTTTGATCAAATAACTGCAGGTATGCAAGAGATTCTTTCAAAAACATTGAAATAATCGTACCAATTCAAAACTTTTGATCGGTAGTGTAGGTTTTATTGTTTTGTTTTATAACTCCAAGAGCATGCAGGAGTTTATGCAATACCTGTTGGTTGTAATAACCTATAAAGTATGTCATAATATGTTTTTTTTTATTATCCTGAACTGTTGTTGTATACAGAGCTCAGATATGACCTGCCGGCATCTTATAAGTTCCACAAAAAGAAGTCGGTAAGTCCATGTTTTGAGTTGAGAACAGTTTCATTTGCACATTTTACACTGCCACAAAAAATAATTATTGCACTGGCAACATGTAGACACACTTTTTCAGACTTTACCATGATAAACTGCTTATATAATCTTTTTTTATCTGATTATTGTAGGTTGATATTCAAGTGGACTTCATTCGGTTCACTCCAACATAAAGGCGTTGGGGAAAAGCAGTTTGTGTTGCTTTGCAACATTTTAGTAGGGTTTTTCACTGTTGTACAAAATAAATTTTATACATTTACAATTTACATACTGTATAATTTTTGGGTGGTTACCACAGAAATGCCAGCACTACTGTAGGATTAACAAACACTATTGTTGAAACTTTATTTACATTTGTGCTTTTCACATTTTTGGCAGCATTCACAGTTGAACATCATCATCACAATGACTATAAAAACAATAAAATACACATCACACATATTTGTTTAGAAAAATCCTGGATTCACAATTGTATTACAAATTCAAAATCATGTAAATATACTGATTAAGAAATAAATACATTTAAATCATGTTTAAATACCAGTACAGTTCTTTTTTTTTAAGTTGCAAAATATTATTAAGTCACTGTGCAAAAAGGGAAGTGCTGTAATCTATTGTCAGTATACATTTAGAAACAGCCCTTTATCTTCCAGCACAGATAACAGACAACCCGTTTCTCACACATTATCAGTGACTTCACATGTTGAACAAATATAATATATTGACATCATTCACAAGTTTAAAATGTTAGATTGTGGGATTCAAAAGTCTTGAGATTTTCAGGGTAAACAATTCAAGTTATAAATAGAAACTGAAAATTTACACGCGTTTCAGTTTATTCTTAATTGGTTTTCTCCCTTTTGGAGCTGACATGAACAAAACCTGATGATCATGATCTTCAGTATGATTTGAGATTATCCATTTTGTGCATCTGACCGTCTGTACAAAACGTCAAATGATCAATGTATCAAGTTTGCAGGGTTCCTACGCAGTATGAAATTTAATTAGTCATTTCCATGTCTGCATAAGTATGGAAAAATATTTGTTTCCATACTATTGCCCCTATTTTGTTGTCTAAAATATACAAATAATTTCTAAAAAATAAATTTGTCATACAAGCAGAGCAGGCATTCGGAGCTGGAAGAGAGCAGAGCCAAAAGTTTAGTGAACATGATGTGAGAGTGGATTTGCAATGCCCGTTCACACCAAAAACGCTAACTATAATAATAAATATACAGCTGTAATTAAAATGATTCAAACCCCATTGCAAATCAGGTTTATTGGCAAAATTTACTGACTGTAACCTCTGTTTGCAATGAACAAATCAAACAACAGTACTTGAAATAGCTCAACACAACCAATGTTTTAAGTGGTTTCCCCAAATTCACCTGAAAATGCAACTTTTAATGACTTCTGCCATCTCAAAATTATTCAACCCCCTGAATAGAATCCCTCACAACAGCACAAATCTGCAAAAAAAAGGTGTTGTCTCAAGCACACCTGATGCTACTTATCAAGGGCTTCATTAGTTGCACCAGGTGTGCTTGAGCTAGAACACATGAAATATCTGAACTGGCTAGGTTTGTTGAGTGTCACGTAACGTTTAACTGCATGTTAGAAATATGACTTAAAAATAAGTCGAAAGAATGGACTAAACAGTTAAGAGAAGATATCATTGCCCTTCACAAACAAGGAACAGGATACACAAAGATAGCGAAGGCACTAAATGTTCCTAGAGACACCGTTAAAAACACAGTTCACAATTTTAAAGTTAAAGGAACAGTGGTTACACTACCTGGACGGAGCAGAAAAGGAAGCTATCAACGGCTGCCACCAGATTTCTGAAAAACCCTCGAGTGACTGCAAAAGACCTGCAGCAAGACTTGGTGGCAACAGGCACTGAGGTTTTCAGTAATGCACGTACTAAATGCTGATGGTTTCTATGCCAGAACTCAAAGACGTACACCACTACTGACCCAAAAGCACAATTCACACATCACAGGCCTTGTCCACACGGACACAGGTATTTTTATAACCGGAGTTTTTCCTACAGCGTCCCGTCCACACATGCTCGATCTCCGTCTACATGAAAACGCAAAAAACACGCTATCAAGCACGGTCAAGAGCATGCCACGCCAGCAGGCGGCGATATAACCTTTAACCGTAAAGCCACGTTGGCCAATCAGAAGCGCAAATCTGACGTCAAACACAGCGGATAACGGCGCACACTCTGACGTCGCAAGGCAAAAACCCCGGTTTCACTGTCTACACGACAACACTGTAACCGGCGTTTCTGAAAATCCTCACCCTGGCAGGGGTTTTCAAAAATGTTCGGTTTCAGTGCGTTTTCGTGTGGACGAACGGCCGAACCGCGTAAAAAAAGTCACGGTTATAAAAATACCCGTGTCCGTGTGGACAGGGCCACAGTCACCTGACTTGAACCCCATAGAAAATCTGGCGGCGGTTTCAGCCGTCAACCGAAGAATATTACGGACCTGGAGGCCATTGCTCATGAGGAATGGGCTTAGATTCCTCAGAAATGCGAAATTCAGAACCTGAAGTACTGCTTATTCCTTTTACGACATTACTCAAACTATTTATATTCAATCAGGTTTAAACAAATACATGTGGTCTGGTCTCAGACTTTTAGACCCCACTGGATGTGATTGTGTATTGATTTCACAGGCTGAACACACAAACGCAACCGTGTGAGCGTGCGGCCGATGGGAGATTCCCCACGATCTCCCAGCAGTCTATCTCAGGGTCGTACCTCTCTATACTCTGCAGATACGTCCCCTTAGAGTATGAATACCCTCCTGCAACATAGATGCACCCATTTATAACGGCCGATCCACACTCCATCCTTCTCTCCTTCATCGCACACATCTGTCTCCATTCATCTTGCTCGGGGTCGTAGCAGTCTGTGATGGTGGTCTGACCGCCGACCAGATAAAGCTTGTTGTTTAAGGAGACTGAGCAAAGACCGTACTCTGAAAGTAAAGAGTTTTGATGAGTTTTCAAATGATAAGGGATGGTGAAGAAGGTTAAATATGGGCAGGTACATCATTATGAGAGAAACCAGATGGACTCATTTCTGTTAGGATGCTGTCTTCCAGCCTATGGTGGAGATTACATTTTGGCTCATCTGATGGGAAATGTAGGTGGCTCACCAGGATGTGGACATATTGTTGTGATGCTCCACTCGTTAATATCTGGCCGGTAAGTCTGAATCTTCTCGTAAGTGCAGGTTCCTCTGTACCCATAATGCCCTCCAGTTACATAGATTCTTTCATTCACCACGCAAGAGGTTGCATTTCCCACACCTTTAAAGTAAAAAAAAACTTCCATCAACAGGCATTTTAAGTCTTTGGTATTAGAACGTTTTTCAGTGTAAGACAATACATTTTCCAACATTCAATTGTTTTAAACTGTCTTTTATTAGCTGAAATCGTAGTTATCATAGTACCACATATTTTTGTATAAACTGCGATACATTTTTATCAGGATTCTTTGATAATAGAATATTCAAAAGAACCGCATTTATATGAAATAAAAAATACAAAAATTGTAACTTTATAACTGACTTTACTGGATACATTTTTAATGCTTCCTTGCAAAACAAAACTATTAATAAATCTTACTGACCCCAAACTTTTAAACAGTAGTGTATATATCTGTATATTTTGCCAGAAAGAAACTTAATAATATGGTTATAAATCATAGTGTTTTATATCATTCCATGGTTTCTGATTTCAGTCTTGTACTTTAGTTCTTTTTTTGGCCTATTTTCATATACTTTTTGCTGAAAATAACATGCTGTAATTCATATTGGAGCTGGTAGATTTGGCAAACTGCTATTCCAATACCGAGGCCACTTTAAAAAAAGGATTCAGAACTCCAATTTTAGTAAACGGTTGTGTGTAAATAAACTGAAGGTGCGTCGCAATTTGCTCATGCACTTTTCTGTGCCGCTTTCCTTATTAAATTCATACACTACACAGTTGAGTACATAGTATTGGTATATGGTGAGTCATTTGGGACACAACTTGAATTTCTCATACCTTGTATCATATTAGCCACAGGGAACCATGTCTTCTTCAAGGGGTCATAGAATTCAGTTTCTTGTGTTGGAGCTCCTGCCGTATATCCGCCTATGACATATATGCATCCCCGTAAAGCCACGGAGCAGTGGTAATATCTGGCTGTGATCATCGGACATCCTTCTGTCCATTCATCTGAGTCTGTGTTATAAATCCACACGGTGTCTAAAGCATCTACAGTCTCTGTCCTGTATCCTCCAGTCACGTAGATATCAGGGCCTTGAAGTACCACACTATAACTCTCTCTTGCAAAGTCAGGCATGTCTTTGCCCTGAACCCACGTGTTGGAAATAGGGTCCCACATGTGGACTTCACACAATGGATGCCAGTAATATCCACCAATAACATACAAGCTGCATGTTAGTTTTTTGCAGCAGAGTGAGAAACCTTTGCCTGGCTTCAACGAGGTAAGAATTAGAGATCGCAATTTGCTTTCAAAGCATTGTTTGCGTAGATCCAAAGCAGTTTTGAGGTACGCGTCATTCACGTCGAGATGGATGCAGTTGAGAAGCTCTTTCAGGTGGTCTATTCTAGGAGCCGCGTCATGGGCGACCCATTTCACCACAGCGTCCAATAACGTCGCCTCTTTCCACACATTAAGGTTTTCAGTTGCTAAAATCACCACGATCTTTTGGAAATCCACTTCTAGGAACTCCTCCTGAAGTGTGAGTTCCTCAAAGCGGCTCAGTATGATCCTCAAAGCCGCGCGCTCCAGTGAAGAGCACACGTGAAGCTCGGCGAACGAGTGCATCCCGAGACAGTTGTCGACGTCCAGCAGACGAATCAAGAAGTTCTCGCAGGCTTTCTTGAGCGAGCTGAGCTGCAACAGGTCTGCGGCCTCCAGAAGACTTTGAACGTTGCTCTGGGTTATGCTGATCTTTGAAGTGTAGACGTAAGTCACCAAAGCACCCAGAATCTCCCCGTCTATGCAAGGTAGGTTGATGGTGTCATTCAGACGTTCTCTCATGTCTAAGGTGAACATTACCTTGAAATAGGAGCTGCGGGCTGATAGGACAGCCTTGTGGCAGTGGAAGAGCTGTCCGGATGAAGACTGCAGGGTGATGTCCGTGAACAGGCCGCTGCTGTGGAACTCGTGAAGAGCTTCCAGCACTTCTGATGAATGAGAAGCGTCGCAGAACTCATACGAGTAGCCGCTTTCAACTTTTCTTGACATTGCAACTGGAAAGAGATGATTTTCAACACTGTAAACCCTAATGCTCAAAATAATTAATTGGTTTGAGTAGGGTAAACTTAAATTAAACAAATTAGTTTAAACTTTTATGAGTATTTAGAACCTTTTTCTTTTGAGTTCACAAAGCTGACACATTTTAAGTCATCTGAATTGTTTCAGTGTTTTGATTTTTATGAACTTGTTTCTTTTAATTTAGACAAACTTAAATTTAACTAAAACTGGACTGGGATTTCTATTTTCCAGCATGCTTTGATGACACTCGAAAGGGAGAGTAAATGATAAAATTAAGTGTTATATAATTTTTTTGTGTGTGTGCAAGATTTAGTAGTGTTTAATGTTAAGCTAAGATATAATGAATTGGCATAAAATGTATGTAAATATGTAAAAAGTAAAATTTTAATAGATAAGGACAGACATCGTCGATGCAGTAATGCTGGGCTAGTTGTCACATTTATTCCAGTGAATATTTCTCATTTTTATTTCTGAAGATTAGTTTCTGTATGAACCTTAACGTTTTTATTATCAAAACATGGTTTTTTATTGTCACACGTTGACCTAGTGTTACTTGTCACACCATGTGGGGTAAATTGTCACACCTGGCATTAAACATTATAGGCTTTTTTGGCACAATGCAAACAGTAAAACAATTACGAAAAAACAATCATGAAAAAGCAAAATGTTGTAACAACATATAAAATATCAAATTGGTTTGGCCAGGAAATAGTAATTAGTCAATTGTATAAAATTACAACATCTAAAACACATATGACACTAAATTTGTATGACATTTATCTCTTTTCTATTTCAGTTTTTTGTTAAACTTCTTTCATCATATAGGCTAGTTGACTTCTGAATGTATAGTCTGTTTTTCTTGGGTTCACTTGTTTACTTAACAGATATTACAAAAATATTTTTAGAAATTTAAGTTATGAGCACAAGATTCACAAAAAAAAAACCCCTAATAAAAGTCAATTTTGAACCAGTGTTTTATTTTTATATTTTCCATTTCATTTTAGTTACCGTTTCAGTAATTTGGTTCTGTGTAGGGATGCACCGATAAGATACATTTTGGTCGATACCGATAATTATGAATATATATAATTATAAATAAAGAAATAATACAAAAACAAAAGTCTCATCATTAAAAGCCATGTCCCAAACACAATTATAATGATGTTCTCAGTATAATTTTATGTAGGTTATATATGACAGATTTTGAAGTGATTCCAGTCATATTTCAAGCTATTCAAAACCATCATGGCGAACAGTGCGCATCTGAAGTGTCTCAGCTGAAGGAAATAATCCATTATGTATCGGCTTTAATATATCGTCCAAATTTTCTTATAGGCCGATAATGATAACATTAAAATGAACATATCGGCCGATACCGATATGGTGATGATATATATATATATATATATTTTTTTTTTTTTTAAATATGTCTGTATAGTTTTTATATATTTTTTATTTTAGTAGGCCTACATAATGTTAAACTAAATGAGAAACAACTAGCTGAAATAAAGGGTTAAAAAAAATGTTAATTAATTTAAGTAACAAGCATGTTTGTTATTAAGTTTTAGTAAAGTATAATAACCCTGTGAACCTTTGAACTAGGTTTTTGCAAGCAACCTATAAAGCACTGCTAATGAAAACAAGCCTTCATGCAATTTCACTCCTTACCTCACAACCTGAGCTTGTGACAACTAGCCCCTATGTAAAAACAAGCTTACCTGGCTCGTAATATCTGACTGACACAGCTCGTCCTTTCTTCGCTGGAGAAGTTTTATCCCCAACAGTGCAACTTGTGCTCGGACAGATCAGACATGTGGCCCCCTGTATTTAGCCTCAGCCACTAGAGAATGTCGAGCTCCTATTTTGGTATCTGTGTTTAGCTGGAGACTCTCTGCTGTCACCCGCCACTACTGATTCAACACAGCCGTCCTTCGGCCATGTGACGACACCAGTTCACAAGCATCCCATCTTTACAAAGACATGTTCAAAGTGCCACCATTTGATCGATTCTTCAATCAACTAAGACATAATACTAGCTTTCACGTTTCAGTTGTCATGGCAGTGCTGAGTGTATAATCCTAATAAGGATTAAAGCCGTTGCATAATAACGCTTGCGGGAAACTAGTACCAAGGGCGGCCGAACACCAAGAATTAATCCATTCTGAGCGCTTCACCGCTTTCTTAACTCAAAAACGTTTGTTTATAGCTTAGCGACGGTGAGTTATTGGTGTGTAGCTACCATTAGGTCCACAGGGTACATTAAAAGGACAGAAATAACTCACAGTTACCATGGAAACAGTGTTGAGGGTCACGTCGATGAAGCGAGCGCCTTTCCCCCCCTGCTTGATAGAGGCGATTTATAAGTAAAGTTCTAAAGGTAAAGGTTTTAGATATCCCTTTATGTTATTATTAAGTCGAAATTTTTGAATAATTTAATTTAATGCATTCTGCAATCTCAAGATATATTCAATTAAATTAACATATAATTGAAATGTGAATTGAATCTCAAGATTTATAAACACATTAGGGATAGTTCACCCCAAAATGAAAATTCTGTCAACGTTTACACACCCACAAAAAAAGATATTTTGAAGAATGTTGGTAACCAAAGCCATTTTTTTTCATACTATGGAAGTCAAACAGGGACCAGAAACTGTTCTGGTCAAACAGGGACCAGAAACTGTTTGAATTATCTTCTTGTGTGTTTTGCAGAAAAAAGAAACTCATACAGGTTTAGAAAAACTTGAGGGTGAGTAAATGACAGATTTTTCATTTTGGGGTGAACTATCCCTTTAATCCCAATTTTTGCTAACCGCTAACAATGTTTGGTTTCTGAAACAATAATATAATAAAATAATAAATCCTAAAAAATAGAAAATGTCCTGTTTAAGTTACTATCAGTGTAAAACCTCTAAGCAACATTCTGGGAACATTAGCTATAAAAATGAGGATTGTATTCTAATGTTAGGGGACCGTTGTTTTCTAGGATGAGTTTGACATTGCAACCCTTGTGGTCAAGGTGGTGAAACTAAAACGTGTTCGAAAGTGGATTTAATGAAGACTCAGGAACATATTTTTGTCAAGTGATCATATTAGCAATAGGTATACATAATCTATATTTTCCTCTAAAGAAAAGCACTCCTAAAAAGGGCTGTGTGATTTTACTCAAAAAGTAATTTGGGAATGAAAATGAGCTAAAGTAATTTATTACAAATTGATCTCAACTTGAGATCAATTTGTTTTTATGTTCATCCCATAATTACCAAAATAAAACATTTGGTCAATATATTAAAAAATACTTTCTGATAATACATTATAGAGTAAAACATATACACTATATATATATATATATATATATATATATATATATATATATATATATATATATATATATATATATATATATATATATATATATATATATATATATATAAATAAATAAGAGAGAGAGAGAGAGAGAGAGAGAGAGAGAGAGAGAGAGAGAGAGAGAGAGAGAGAGAGAGAGAGAGAGAGAGAGAGAGAGAGAGAGAGAGAGAGAGAGAGAGAGGGAGAGGGAGAGAGAAACAGGGGTCGGGACAGTCCCAAAAACTCCATCCTGACGATGAAAGAAACAGGGAAAAAAGGGAAAAATAAGAGCAGCATTTAGTAAATATCTATTTTAGTAGTACAAACTGGCGTCAGTTATTCAACGTAATTTTTACACTTTAGAGACAGAAATGGCAACCCTTTAGTATGAAAAAAGAGACAATCCACTGCAAAGCAGCACTGATGGTTATTGTTTTAATCAAACATTCACATATCTGCAATAGAAATAAGGTTTAGTGAACTAATAACAACAACAAAAGTAAAAATCTGACTTTTTTACACTGTTGCTTCAGGAAATCTAGTGTTGTGAGTAATAGCAAGTAATGAAACTCAGTCAAGCTTCAGACGCTGGAATGTTAAGTGGTTCAGTGACAGATATTTAAACAGTGAGCTGTGCAGCCTCTTTCACTAAGGACTTCAAGGCACCAATGTCCCCCAGCAGTGAAGAAATCCCCATGCAGTACCACTGGACACCACTGCTAGCAGTAGAGGCACTGAAGGACTCCAGCTCCACACCTGCAGTAGCCAAAACCCCTGAGGAAGATAAGAAGGCATTAATAGACCGAAGGTCCCGATACACTCACGGCGAAGTCCTTTTTCGTTCTTCTCTGAAACACTGTTAGTGAAAATTCAACACTGCCCACACCGCTGAGAGTGACGGTTAAATGAATATGTAAATATTAAAAAAATGATGAATATGCTTTCCTCTCAGTAACAAAAAAAAACGTATTTATTATAAATGTATATATAAATAAACATAATATATATTTATTCCAGAATGCTGTAAGTGAAAATAAAACAGGGTTCTCGTGCCTTTTGACCAATAAATTTAGATTTTTACAACTTTCAGTCGTTTGTGATTACTTGTAATTTTCGATAAATGACATGCAAAGAGCAATTTCTGGTCAATATTTTAGAGCTGAATGGAAATCATCATTTTAAAATTCCTAATATTGCTCAGTTATTCTTCCCATTAAAAGCTATACTGTATGTGTAGAACGTGAATCAGCCTTTACCGGTTATGGAGAGCAGGAGGTCAGTGGAGGTGGCGGCCTTGAAGAACAGCAAGTGTCCGCTGAGAGGAACAGGCTGTCGAAACACACTTCCATTCAGCTCCAACAGCACAGGAACCCCAGCCTGCACCGAGCCAACCGCCTTACAGCTGCTGCCGTTCACAGAGACTTCCACAACACACGCCTCACGGTCATTCGAGTCGTCATGATCCGTCTTCATCTGGGGGTTTGTGACACAGGGACAGATTTAACGTAACGTGTGCTTTAACCTAAAATACATACCGGTAGTTCAAAACCATGGTTTTGTAAAGTTGTCTTACGGTGATTCCCGTCTCTGCAGCTAGAGGCAGTGCATTCACCAAGTTGGGGCCTTTCTGAGGGCCTTCAGTGAGCAAACCAACTACAGCTGCTGAGCTCAAAAACCCAGTGGACTTCTTCAAGGACTGCCCTGAACAGCAAAAAATAAACAAACAAACTAAATATTTTTTATATTTTTACATTTTATATGTTTATTGTATGTAAAATGGATACAAATGTATGATATTGCCACAAGATGGCATCCTTGCACTGTTGATGATTAAATTGAATGCCAATAGATAAAAATATAAATTGTCATTATTTCATTTGCAAGTCATTTATTTAATTGTAATACAGCAGAAAGGTAATCATT